AAATACTGATGGCAGACACTGTAAGTGATGTCTTTTCTGGACCTAAAGGACTGTCCACTTCTGGGACCCTGCACCCCCTCCATCAACACCTTTCCCTCCCTGAGGTCCAGCTGGGACTCCACTCATAGGGCCTTCTAGTGAGAACCCCTTCCCTGTCTCACACATGTGGTGCAACCAAGAGACATTTGAAGACTGGGCTACCTTGCACGGGCGAGGTGCACACACCCGGAGCCAGTTCCAGACAGCTGATCTCCTTACAGGACAGGGGGACTGACTTCGACCTCAGCCTTTTCTCGGAACTGGTACATTCCTGCAGGAGAAAGCAGTATCTGCAGTCTGGGCTGCAAACGTGCTGTCTCCAGGTCAAGGGTACACACAACCAGGGCAAACCTCTTCCCCCAACTAGCTCCAGTCTCATCAGGGGCTCCCCTTACCCCAACCACAGGCTGCACCCCTTGCCCCAAACCCCAACATGTTTGAAGCTGTGGGACTCAAATCTAGAGGAAAGGGAACCTCCCTGCCCCCACTACCACCACAGTTCATGTCAGGGGCAAAGATGTACCAGCCACAGGCCACAGCCCTAAGCATGAATTCCCCAGCTGGGATCTCAAGACTAATATAAGGCTTCCTTGGATGCAAAACCCAACCCTAGACTCAATTTCCCTCTTACTTGCTAGTTACATTTCAGGCAAGGAGACCTCTTGCCCATCTGCTTCTCTCTCTCTCTCTCTCTCTCTCTCTCTCTCTCTCTCTCTCCTGGTCTCTTGGTCTCTCTCAGTCTTTCTCTCTAACCCTAGCTGGGGCTTCGGGATAAAGAGACAGGCTCTGACACCCTCTTCTGGCCTCTTCAGGCGTTGTATGACATGGGTGCACTTATATACATGCAGGCAAAACACCCATATACATAAAAATAAATAAATAAATAGGGGCTGGAGAGATGGCTCAGTGGTTAAGAGCACTGGTTGCTCTTGCAGACGACCTAGGCTTGATTCCCAGCACCCACATGGTGGCTAACAACTGTCCATAACTCCAGTTCCAGGGGATTCAACACCTGATCTCTGTGGACACTGCACTTACAAACATGCAGGCAATAGAGTTATACACATAAACATTTAAAATAAGAAATATGAAAGTTGTATTTATTTTTATTATATATGAGTGTTTGCCTACATGTATATAAGTGCACCATGTACACGCAATGCATGCCGAGGCCAGAAGGGTGTGTCAGATTCCCCAAAACTGGACTTGCAGATGGTTGACATACAGATGGTTATGAGCCATCATGTGGGTTCTGAGAACTAAACCCAGGTCCTCTGTAAGAGCAGCCAGTGCTCATAATCACTGAGCCATCTCTCCAGACCCGAATTTCATTATTATACTTACTTATTTGTTTGTGTGTGTATGAGAGCAAGGGTGTGGGTACATATGTGCCACAGCATGTATGTGGAGGGCAGGGGACAATTTCTGGGAGTCATGATTTTTTCCGTCTACTGTTGGGTTCTAGGGATTGAATTCAGATCATAAGACTTGATGGTGGGGCTGGAGAGATGGCTCAGTGGTTCAGAGTACTTGCAGAGGACCTGGTTTCAGTTCCAACCACCTACATGGTGGATAACAACCATCCATAACTCCAGTTCCAGGGGATCCTACACCCTCTTCTGGTCTCTATGGGCATTGCACACAGGAGCATTCACATGCAGACAAAGCATACATGTAAAATAAAAAGAAATTTTTAAAAAAGTCCTTTAAAAAGGACTTGATGGTGAACACCTTCAGTGGCTGAGTCGTTGCACCAGCCCACTACCTTATTTTTTGAGATAGTGTCTTTCATTAAGCCTCACTGAGCCTTGAGCCCATCAATTGGCTTAAGCTGGCTGGCCAGGGAGCCCCAAGGATTCACCAGTCCCCCCTCCCACCCCTATGCTAGGATTTTCACCACCATGCCAGGCTTTTACATGGGCGCTAGGGATCTGAACTCAGGTCCCCAATCTTATGCAACAAGGACTTTACTGACTGAGCCATCTCCCCAGTCCCAGGTAGCTTTATAATAAAAGACAGAGGGCCTGGGAGATAACTTAGTCCTTAAAGGCTTTTGCCTTGCAAGCATGAGGATCCATGTAAATAAGCTGGGTATGGTGATACAAGTTTGTAACTCAGCCCTGGGGAGGTACAGACAGGTGGATCCCTGGAGCTTGCTGCCCAGGCAGCCAGTTTTAGGCCCATGTGAGACCTTCAAAAAAGAAGGTGGATGGAACCTGAGGTATGATGTCTGGGGTTGTCTTCTGGTTTCCACGCCCTTCTACCACCCTCAACCCCAAAGAAAAGATGGAGACACACTGAAAGTATACACTTGTACACTCCCTGTCTGTTGCCTTGTGTTGTACTGCACCCTGTAAGGACTATCAGACAAAAAAGTCATCACCAGATGCAACCCTGACCTTGGGCTTACAGATTCATGAACCAAAAAAACCCTCTTTTCTTTATAATATACCCAGTCTGGGGTATTGTGTCATACACAAAAGAAAATAGACAATTGCAAATCGTATCCCAGGACCCAAAGATGTCACAGTCAAGGGCTATATTACAGAGATTCCCTCTTCCTCGCCCTCATCATGATCAGTGACTCCCATTAGCTTCAGGGAGGTGCTCCCTCCCACCCACAGCACTGGCTTCCCAGCCCACAGTGGGTGCAGATTGCCAGGGTGGGTTCGTATTTCACCCACCTTGCTTGGGTATCCTGTTGGGGTCCCACCCTGAGACAGGCAGCCTTGGGTCCATATCTTCAACCCTTCTCCAGACAGATTGAGAGCAAGGCTAGCCAGGGTCCGAGGGAGACAGGCACCTTCTTCCCCTGTGGAGGCATCTAGGCTGAGCCTGGGGATGAGCATATATTGAAGTATCAGTGTGTGATGTCTGCCATGTCAGGGCTGGAGGGGACTTCCCTCTTAGGGGCCTTTCAAGGCTGGGGAGGGGGGAAGGCCACCCAGAGGGGTCCTGACCTCCCAATACCAGAGGTGTTTGCAGCCTCAGGGTGGGGCAGGGGTGGGGGTGGGGAGACTGGTTGCAGTTCTCAAAGCTTCATTCCCACGGCAGTTTTTACATTGACTGGTTTGATCTGGGGCTTGGTTTCCTCCCTCTGTCCTTTTCTTTTTCTTCCTTTCTTAATTTCTTTCTTTGCTTTTGCTGTTTCTGTGGCTGTTCACTCTCTTTCTTTTGATTGATGGCATCCTTTCTTCTCTCTCTCTCTCTCTCTCTCTCTCTCTCTCTCTCTCTCTCCCCCCCTTCCCCTTCCCCTTCCTCCCTTCTGTCTCCATCCCCCCTCACTCTTTCTTGTTTGCTACTTGCAGTAATGGGGATGGGGCCTCAGGCCTCACACATAATAGGCAAACACTTTACCATGAAGCTACATCCCACATCCTCTTGGGAGGAGTTGGGGCACAAGAGTTGGGGTGTGTGTGTCTAAAGTCCTCTTCCACTGCTTGATGCTGCTACTATCGGGTGCAGGGAGCTGAGTGCTCATTGTTTTGATCACATGTGAGTGCGTGGCTTTGTGCACACAGGTAGTGCGCACACCGTACCACTTACAGGCCAATAGACATGAATGTAGCAGGCTGAGAGGGTTGAGTGCAGGTGTGTACACCCAGCTCAGGCAGACAGGTATGCATGCTGGGTCTAGGTGATTCTTCAGTGTGCACACTCACACAGGCTCTGTGTGCACTCATGTGTGTGTTTGTGCATGTACAAGTTCATACATGTGTGCCCGCACATGTGCATTCACATGTACATGCATGTTTGTGCACACATGCATGTTTGTGACAGCACATATTAGGGCTGCCTATGACAGCACAGGCACACCTGGTGGCCATATATGAAGTTGCTGTTTTCTCCCAATTGAAACATTCCCTGCAGAGAGAAGAGGAGGCGGCTCAGGAAAATCACAAAAGGGTGCTCCAACTGTGCAGCTTTTGTGAATTGTCAGCACCCATGCAGGAGTGGACTCTTCTAAGATACAGTTGCTTTTGAGTCATCCACAGTCCTGTAACTGACCCCAGTAAATGCACTGCTTCATCAAGCTGAACTTGGATGGAATTGTTTCTTTGGTCTGTCATCAGTGTCCTATCTAGAGTGAATAGACTTTTGCTCATGTCTCCCCAGCAAATGTTATACTGTAAGGGACTAAATCCTTAATAAGCAAACAGGGTCACAGAGGAATAATAAAGGTGGCACACTGCCTGCTTCTTCTTGGTCCAGCAGGAATGCCTTATTTATTTATTTATTTATTTATTTATTTATTTATTTATTTATTTATTATTTATTTACTTATTTATTTATTGAGATAAGGTATCACTATGCATCCCTAGCCTGCCTGGAACTCACTATGTAAACCAGGCTGGCCTCAAACTCACAGAAATCTGCCTGCCTCTGGCTCCCAAGGGCTGGGATAAAAGGTATGCACCACCATGCCCGGCAGACCTTATTTTTAACTGCACCGGGGCTCCTTCACATAGTCCTGGACATATGGAGTTGTGACCTATCAGTACCCACTTTTTGTTTAAGTTTACCAATCCACAATTAGGGGAGGGAAAGCCACTAAAACCCTTAAAACCCAAGCCCTCTCCAGTTCTGGGTCCTCTCTCTACTTGTGGAGAGATTTTTCTCTCTACATGAATGAATATAGGTATGGATGTGATTCTTTATCTTTCAGTAAAGCCTGTTTACCTGTTGCTCTCTGCTGTGTCTGAGATTTTTTTCTGCCTCTTAGTTATTTTTTTAAAAATATTTTTCTGTATGTATAAATGTTTTGTTTGCATGTGTGTGCAATGCCTATGGAGGCCAGAAGAGGAGGTCAGATCCCCTGGAACTGTAGTTACAGACAGTTCTTAGGTGCCATGTGGGTACTAGGAACCAAACCCAGGTCCTTTGCAAGAGCAGCCAGCGCTGAGCCATCTCTCCAGCCCTTGCCTTTTAATTCTTAATTGGCTGAGAAATTGAGCCCAAATCAAGACCCCTAGACTGACAACAGACTGCAACAATATAACGCAATAACTTAGAGAGGATAGCAGTGAGTCCTGGGAACTGACTCTGGTGTCCCAGATCCCTGCCCTGTCCCAGAGTGACAACCCAGAAAGTAGGCAGTGCTGTTGGAGAGGACTGACCTCCGACAGCTTTCTGAGCAGCTTCGTGATCTCTCCCAGCTGCGTCTCCGAGGCAGCGCTTGTGCTCCATCGGAGCTTGAGCAGGGTGACTCTCTTCTAACATCTTTGCTTGGTGTCCCAGGATCTGTAGCCCCTCCAGGCTGGCTGTCGAGGAAAGGGGCCCCTAAGCCCAAATCCCGGAGATATTCACTGCCCTCCAGCACCCCTAGATCCAGGCTCAGGTCTTCTGAGCTCTCACCAAGAGCATCTTCCTGTAGGTTGAGAAAAGAAAGTGTTGGGCAAGAAGTGACAGAGCTAGGATGTCCTGGCCCCAAGTCCCCACACTCCAGCACAGACCCAGCTTATGTTCCTTCTGTCCATCCTGGGCTCAACTTATGTTCCTCCTGTCCATCCTGGGCTCAGCCTCCCCTTGGTGACAGTAAGATAAAATGTGGAGGGGCTGGAGAAATGGTTCAGCAGTTAAGAGCACTGACTGCTCTTGCAGAGGACCTGGGTTCTGTTCCTGGCACCCACATGATGGCTAACAATCAATGTTCCAGGGGACCCGATGTCCTCCTCTGGCCTCCGTGAGCATCGCACACACAGATGCACTTACATACACACAGGCAAAACACATACACATAAAAAAATAACTAAAAATATTACATTTTATTTACTGTGCATGTTTGGTATGTCTGTGTATGCCTGACTTGCAGGAATTGGTTCTTTCCTTCCGTCATGTGAGTCCTGGGGATCGAACTCAGGTCATCAGACTTAGCAACAATCACTTCCACCTGCTGAGCCATTTCACTAGCCCTGCTTTGAATTTTCTTGGCATACCCAGAAGTAAAACTGCTGCCTCCTTTAGTAGTCCTTTACGCTTCATGTGTGTGGTGCTGGGGATTGAATCCAGGGACTCCTGCACACTAGGCAAGCACTCTACCATAGAACTACATCATTGAGCTAAACCCCCAGCCGTGTGTGTGTGTGTGTGTGTGTGTGTGTGTGTGTGCACTCACCAGTGCATGCATGTATGGAGGCCAGAGATCCAACTTCAGGTGTCTTTCTCTATTACTCTCCACAGTTACTTTTGGAGACTGGATCTCTCACTGAATCTGGAGCTGAGTGTTTTGGCTAGACTGGTTGGGTGGTGAGCCCCTGGGATCTGCCTATCTCCAGCCCTGACCCTTAGTGCTGGGTTATATGTGTGAACCATCATACTTAGCTTTTTGTTTTTTGTTTCTTTGAGACAGGGTCTCCCGATAGCCCCAGTTAGCATGGAACTTGCTTTGTAGACCAGGCTGGCTTCAATCTCACAGAGATCTGCCTGCCTCTGCCTCTTGAGTGCTTGGATTAAAGGCATGTGCCACCGCACCTGGCCTCATTCTTAGCTTTTAATGTGGGTGCTAGGGATCTGAATTCAGATCCTCGTGCTTTACTCACTCACCCCTAGTCCTGGTCCCCTCTTCCTCCCTCTGTCCTTTAAGATAGTATATCCTTGGGGCTGGAGAGATGGCTCAGCAATTAAGAGCACTGGCTGCTCTTGCAGAGGACCTGGGTTCAGTACCCAGTACCCACATGGCATCTAACAACTGTCTGTAACTACAGTTTCAGGGGATCTGACACACTCTTCTGGCATCCATGAGCATTGCACGTACACGGTGCACTTACACACATGCAGGCAAAACGCTCACACTCAAAATAAATTAAAATCCTACATCTTCTTTCCCATGAGCCCCGTTCTGACTGCAGACAGTCTGGCTCTGGCCGAATCAGGGTGATCTTGCCCTTGCTCTCCTAAGACGTTGAGTGCAGCCTCCTTTCAGACCTTGCCTAGCCAGTATATTGCATCATTCCTGTCGCTGGTGCCTGGACAACTTCGGGCTGATTCCTGTCTCCATTGCTTCCCCCTCCCCCGACCCCAAGGTTTCCTTGTATCTCTGCTTTTCATCTTCCCATAAATATAAACACGTCAGGACGGGCTCTGGGCTCCCTCCTCTTCCAGTGTCTGGCCTCTCTCATCCAAGGCAGTGGCGGGAGCCAGGCCAGAGCTTGGGAGGAGGGTGCTGGGTAGCTAAGGCACAGCTTGTCCCTGCTCCCTAGCCAGCAGGTACACTTGGAAAGGTGGGGGAGGGAGAACCTTACCTCACTCCCTTGGAAACATGAACTCTTTCTCAAACTCATTTCCTGGGTGAGAAAAGATAGGAGCCCGCCCACTGGGGGCCTTTCCTGAGATCTAATTAAACAGTGTAGACCAGCCATGACACCCCACAGTGGATCAAATAAATCCTTGTTGCTGCTACCCGGACAACTCCCCAGGCTCAAGGAGCCTTGGTGGATGGGGATTCTCCCTCTGCCTTTTGCTAAATCCAATCCAGACACAAAACATCCCAGGCTTCCCCGTTCTTAGGAAGAGCTACCATAGGCAGTATCAGATTGTACACAGACACACTAGTTTTTGCAGTGCTATGGGCAGGACCCAGGGCTTTGAGCATGCTATGCAAGCCCTCTAACCACTGAGCCATACCCTAGCCCCTCACTGGGAGATTCTAGGCAGTCACTCTACCACTGAGTCATGCCCCCAGTCTGAGTGCTTTTTGGGGATGGGTCTTGCTAATGTGGCCCAGGCTAGTTTCAAATTTATTTGTTTGGTTTGGTTTGGCTTGGTTTTTGAGATGGCTTCAAATTTGAAATTCTCCTGCTCCCACTTCCCAAGTCACAGATAGTCTTTTTTTATTATTTATTTATTTATCTATTTATTTTGAGACAGAGTCGTGCTATATAGTCCTGGATGGCCTGGAATTCCCTATATAGACCAGGCTGGCCTCAAACTCACAGAGGTCTGACTGTCTCTGTCTCCCAAGTGCTAGGTTTAAAGGCATGTACTACCCCACCTGGCCCTAGACTTTTATTTTTAAAATGTAAATAGTTATCCATCTCACTAACTATCATAAAGAGATAGGCCACTCAAACAACTTAATCTATAGTGTCTCTGGTCCCATTTGGCAGTGCAGCAAAGTGACTTGATTTCAAACAAAACAGCAAGTAAATACAGGCTGAGCATTCCTAATTTAAAAACCTCAAAACTTTGAGCCCTCATGTTATAACACAAGTGGAAAATTCCACATGTGATAGAGCACAGTCAAAATGCAGAGATGGGGGCCAGTGAGATGGCTTAGCAGGTTAACTTACTGCCAAGCTTGATGGCCTGAGTTCAATACCTGGGCCCTACAGGCACCCACATGTGTACCCACACACATATACATGCACAGAAATAAATAAAAATGTACTGAAAAAATTAAAAACAAAATAAACCAGAGGCTGGAGAGATGAGTCAAGGGTTAAGAGCACATACTGCTCTTCCAGACCTGAGTTCAGTTCCCAGCACCCACATGGAGCAGCTCACAACCTCTTGTAATTCCAGCTCTGTGGGTCATGATGCTTTCTGTTGGTCTCTGTGGTGACTGCAATTATGTGCACACCCCTCCTCCACAGCACACATAATTAAACAAACAAAAAACAAAATGCAGAAACTAAAAGTAGAATATACAATTCCCCTTAGGCCACATGTGTGAGGTGTGCATAAATGAATGAAATAACAAAGAATCTCATGGTTAGACTTGGATCCCATCCCCAATGTATTTCATTAGGCATGCCCAAATATTCCCAAATCTTTTTTTTAAAAAATATTTTATTATTTTTATTTTATGTGTATACGTGTATTGCCTGCGTGTGGGTAAGTGCACCCGTGCCAATGCAATGCCCACAGAGGACAGAGGAGGCTGTCAGATCCCCTGGAACTGGAGTTACAGACAGTTGTTAGCTGCCATGTGGGTGCTGGGATTTGAACCCGGGTCTTCTGCAAGAACAACAAGTGTTCTTAATCACTGAGCCATCTCTCCATTCCCCATATTCCCAAATCTTATAAAAGTTCAAAATCAGAGCAAGGAACATGGCTTACTGGGTAATGAAAGTACTTGCCACACAAACATGAGAATCTGAGTTTGATCCCTGGCACCAAAGTAAACAGCCTGGCATGGTGGTGCTGTAACCTCAGCAACTGGGGAGGGCAGAGACAGGCAGATCTCTTGTTGGTCAGTCAGCCTACTGTAATCAGTGAACTCCAAATTCAGTGAGAGATCCTGTCTCAAAAAATAAGGTGGCGAGCAGTTGAGGAAGACCCCCAACTTAGACCTCTGACATCCACATGTCAGCACACACACATATGTGCACACAGAAATTCAAAATCAAGCCAGGCATGATGGCTCACACCTATACTACCAGTATTCAGGAGGATGAGACAGGAGGATTGCTATGAGTTTGAAGATAGTCTGAGCTACACAGCTTCAGGAAAGCCTGGAGTACAGAATAAGATCCCGTGTTAACAAAAACACACACGTACAAAAAAGTCAGGCATGGTGGTACACACCTATCATACCAGGAGTTAAAAGCAAGAGGACCAGAAATTTAAGATCACCTTTGGCTACATGATGAATCTGAGGCCTGCCTGGACTACCTGAGACCCTCCTGCATAGAAACAAACAAATGGGGTGATGGCTCAGTAGGTAAAGTGCTTGCCACACAAACATAAGGACTAGAGTTTGGGCTCTCAGAACCTATCCGAAAGCTGGGTGAAACTGGTAGCCTGCCTGTGATCCGAGTGTATGGTTGGCAGACAGGGAGCTCCCCAGAGCAAGCCAGCTAGTCAGACTAGCAGAAATGGCAAGTTCCTGCATTCAGTGAGAGAGCCTGCCTTAATATATAAAGACTCCCAACATTAACCTTGGACTTGCATACACACACACACACACACACACACACACACGCATTGTGCCCCCACACATGAAAACACACATGCATGTACACATAAAAAGAAACAATAAACAAACAATAAAAATAAAGACAACCCAAAGTCTGAAACCCTTCTGGTCCTGAGCATTGTGGATAGGGTACACTGATTGTCTTGCTGTTCTTTGGTTTTTATGTTTTGTGTTAGTGCCAGGGATTGAATTTAGAGTAATGCACATGTGCTCTCCACAGACCTACATCCCCCACCCTCTTTTTATGTTTTAGTTTTTTGAGACAGGTGTGTAATGGTTGGTTTAATTGTCAAGCTGACACAACCTAGAATCACCTGAGGAGAGAGTCTCACTGTAGGATTGTCTAGATGAGGTTGCCCTGTGGGTCTGTCTGCTGGGGGTTGTCTTAAGTTGGTTGATGTGCAGAAACCCACCCATTGTGGGTAGCATCATTCCCTAGGCAAGTGGTCATG